CATTTTAGCTAGTGGATGTTATGGCCATCATGTATTGGGAGTTACAACCTTTCAAATGCCTTTAGGTTACTTTTAGGGTTGTTTTGGAGGCTATAAATAGCCTAGCTTGTTTCCTTTGAAATAGAGATTTTGATGATTGAATGAAAGTTGCTATTTTGCTTCAAAAAGCTAAGAGCTTGTTTTTCCTTGCAATTCTTGAGTGTTAGATTTGCATGCTAGAATCATTCCAGTAGCCTTGATCAAGCTATTTTGTGGAGTGGTTCGAATCTTGAGTTTAGAAACAAGTTTTCTCTACTCTTGATATTGATCATCAAGGTAAATCCGTTCTAACTTCTTCCTTGGTTGACATCATCTCGATTTGGGGGTTTTAGCATTTGTGATCTAGGGGTTTGCATAACCATAAGGGTTCTTAGATCCAATTGGCTATTGTTTTTTTATCATTTGGTATCAGAGAACTAGGCTCTAGATCGGATATATGTTTCCGTTTTCGTATTGCTCTTCTTGTTCTTTATTATGAAATTTTTGTTCTTATTGTTCATCTCGTTACATTCTGTCCACGTATCTAAAATATAGAAAAAGTATCATTTCCATTAATCTTTTCGTCTTGTTGTCTTCTATCATGTTTGTAGATCTCTGTCTTATCTACAACTTTGTCTTCTTTCATATCTTCTGACTTGATTTGATTCTGGGTAAAAAGTTCAAACATTGACATTCTAATCTGGAAAACTGCTATACTCGAGAGCATGTGTTCTTCTTTGTTCTTTACATTTTTACTTCCAAATCATGCTAGATCTGAGTTGTGCTGTTGAAATTGCCTATTTTTGTTAATCTAGCTGTTGGTAATAAATCATATCAATTATGCTTTGATTTATTTCCACAACTAACCGTTACTCATTAAATGAATTTAAGTGCATCTCAAGCTTCATTTATTGCACGTCATCCATCAATTAATGGAACTACACTTGAAACTACTTCAAGTGAAGCTTCATTTATAATTGGGAGGTTACAAAGACTTTGAAGGGTGACCAAGACTTCAATTCTCGGATTTAAACCTATTTTTAACATATTTTCAGTTTTAAACATTTCTTTTATGTGTTTTAAGTTACATTTTAGCTAGTGGATGTTATGGCCATCATGTA